ATGTTCAAACGGCGCTGTAACCTTTCGTTCCCGCCCGTTAGGTACTCGAGAGACTCGGTCCGAGTTAAATGTCAGTCAGTTCGTTTACATGCACACTAAGAAAACGTGTTAGTCCCACTAAAAACTGACTTTTAAATTACATGTTTTTAGCATTTTCTGTGTAATGCGTGCAGCACATTTTCTGTCAATGACCTCCATAACACTAGTTTTTAATCTTTAAAAATGTAAACACGTATTAGTAATTATTCAGGATAACTATTACTATTACTCAGGATAACTTTACTGTCGTGACCGCCTTGCCATAAAAAGAACTTATATAACATAAATCAAAAAATGCTACGTAATAATAATAATTACAGTAATAATTATAATAAATATATGCAGAGCTAGCATATGCCCTTGTGGGGAAATGGCATTTCGTGCAGTGTGCCCTGTGCTTCCTGGGATAGGGTCCAGCATCACCACAGTCCTGTACTGGATAAGCAGTTGGAAGTTGGATGAATTATTTATCACCTTAACCTATGTTGCCCCTTATTAATTTCTAAGCTTGCAGCACCAGCTCTCATTTCGGTATAAAACGGGGGTTTAGAAAATTAAGCTGTTAAAAATTAAAAAGTTCATTTAATTTGAGGCAATAAATAAATGATAAATCATATCGTTCGACGTATTATTACAGGTATCCCCCGCTTTACAAACGTTCGCTTTATGCCACATACGTTAGCACCTACTTCCGCGAACCGAGAGAAATCCGAAGAGGATTTTCGCTTTTACGAAAAAAAGCGAAAATATGGTTTAGCGTTTGTTTATCAGCGAGCCAATTATAGACAGGCAGTCACGTGCCGCATCATGACGTTTCGGTCAACAACAGATCGCATAGACAGTGGCCCAATCGGATTATAAGGGAATGAAAAAAATCCTATCGTCATGTGACGTTGTAGCCGTCGTAACGTCATATCGCAACGCGTTACTCGGATATTTGTGGTGATGCTGGTGTAAAGAAACCTACTGCGCTGCCAGTCGTATATAGGCCTACATGCAATACATATTACTTGATAAACAACCATGTTACTGGAGTATGTATCTACTGTACTGTGCTTTTTAAACGCTATTTAGGCTATTACCGTATAGTCTAGATGTGTAGTAGTCCGTACGATCTAGGTTTGTGTAGGTACACTCTATGATGTTCTTACAACGGCTAACGATGCATTTCTCAGAATGTATCCCTTTCGTTAAGCGACGCATTATTTTATTGATTCTGGTAATTGAAACTACATCGATACAATATTTCTACTGTATAGGCTTTGTATTTATCATAACATAATGTTTTACTATGTGTTAGTGTGAAATTAGGCGTTATGTGTTATTTGGTATGATTCATTAGGTTACTTTTTAGGTCTGGGAACGTTTCATAATGTTCCCCATATAAATGAATGGCAATTTCTTCTTCGCCTTATTCCATTTTGCCTAACGAAAGGTTTCATATAAGCCCCCTGCTTTCGTAAAGTGGGGGTACCTGTACCACATTTTATTCAACATTGATGGTCAGTTAGCAGAGTTATACAATCAAGTCAATTCTTTTTACTATAATGTAGCAGTAGAAGTTGTTTTCAAGTCTCGTGCCTCATATAATCCTCTTTTTAAAAAGCATTTTACGCTATATTACACTACGGTTGGGGGCTTTTATTGTCTAATTGTTCCCTTTTATGTGCGATAATTGATAGTCTTACCGAAAGACTGGCACGACTTCAAATTGAATGCACATAATCGGTAGGCCTGCAGATAGCTTCCCTTTGCAAGTAAATTCTGTAACAATAAACATATTTATTAAGTTTACAGGTAGTACGTGATTTTGCACATTCATCGAGCTTGAAATGAGAAGCTTGGATACCACTATTGTCTGAAGCTCACACAGAATGCTTTGCTGCTCATGCGCTTATGCCATGGGGCCTCAATGGGTGGGCGTCTCGCTGTGCATTTGGCAGTCTACAGGCCTCATGACCTTTCATTGTGGTTTAACCTGGAGGGATGGGAAGCTCCTTATCTCAGGATGAGGGAACGTGAATCTAGACAGGGGTCCCAGTAGTGCTCGTTTGTGGAAAACGTGCTAACGAGGGCGAGAACTCCGGGGCAACAGGGTGTGCTCGTTAAAGCAGCGGCGGCATGCGGCGAGGCTGCCTTCTGGCTGAGCTGCTGAGCTACATCACGACTGCGTCACCCACCTCCACGGCTGGCCAGAAGCGTAATGAGTCCGCTCCGTTTGCTGCGTGACAGCACTCCTCTCTGCGTGCAGCGCTGTCCAGATGTTAACAACATCATTGCGTGTAATGTAACCTGAGCGGCTTATTAGCGGTCCTCCATTCCTAAACCGCTTTTCCTGGCCAGGGTCGTGCGGAGCTTAGAGTCTATCATAGGCAGCTTAGGGCAGTGTTTCCCAAACCAGTCCTCGGGGCACACTGGAAAGACGTATTTTTGTTTTATCATAGTTCCCAGAATACATGACCCAAGCAATCAGGAGCTCTAAATACCGTACAGGTGTGCTGGGAACTGGGATAAAACGAAAATGTGTATCCGTGCAGTGTGCCCTGAGGACTGGTATGGGAAACACTTGCTTAGGGCACAAGGCTGGAGGATACCCAGGACGGGATTCCAGTCCATCGCAGGGCACACATACATACACACTATGGGTGATTTTGAGACACCATTTAGCTTTACTGCCTGTCTTTGGACTGCAGGGACAAACTGGAGTACCTGGAGGAAACCTACATAACACAAGGAGAACATGCAAACCCCCCACCCTGGAAGTATGAGGCATCAATTTTACCCACTGAGCTGCCATACTGCCCCTTAAATTATGTAGCACATAATTCCATCGATCTTCTGTAACAGCTTATCTAGCACTGGGTCACCACGGTATTTATATAACCTTTCAACCAAACAAAAACAATTTGGAACACAGCAGAAGATTATTTTAAGAACATGCATTCCGGTAACCCTCTATTTAACAGCAACAAATTATCGAGCATGTGATACTTTTTAACACAATAACAGATGCTTGTAAAAGGGTTGTAGATCTCAGGGTCAGATACACAGCTTCTAGAAGCTTCAGTAAGTGAGTGGTGCAAGTATTATTTTCACGACAGAAATGTTTCAACGAATAAGAATTCATATAAGAATAAGCATTTTCAACCATCGATCTTCCATCTGATTATCCTGTATAGAGTCGAGGGGGGAATCTGAAGTGTACCCCCAGCAGTATGGTACAAAGCAGGAATACCTTTGGATGTGTAATTATAATATGAAATATAATGTCATAATCGTGTACTGTAGTGTACAATACAATACTTTTCAGCGCAACTGTGTCCACTAGATGGCAGCAGAACACCGTGAGCAAGTTATCGATGCTGATTATACTGTGCGTCTGTGCCCGGCACTTGAACACAAGTAATGAGCAGGATCTGCACTTTGGTTCTGCAGCTGACAGTCCTGCAGCCTCTCCTTCCCACACATTTCTGGTGCCGAGTCCCAGCGCCCCGTCAACACATCTTAGACTTTTCGTACCGGGCTTTGGGTCTGCGCGGTCCACCTTCAGAGGGCGCGTATCGCCTTGACTCCGTGCTGGTCCCTCCGTGACGTGCAGCTGCTGTTTCGGTATTCATAAGAGCAGGCAGGAGCGTCGGAGGCCCTACTCCGTGAGGGAAATGGCAGATCGTGGTCCCCCCCCCCTCTCTCTCGCTCTCTCTCTCTCTTCTCTGTGGTGGTTTTTCCCACATCTGCCGGAGGCCACCCCTTCAGCTACAGTCCCTGGAGCATGAGAGCCGTGGAGCTACTCTGTTCCAAAGTCCTGTCAGCACATTTTCTCAGTATAAAAGGCAAAAAAACTACCAGCTAAAACCCAAATACGGACTGGAATGTTTTTAAAATAAACAAACAAAACAGGAAATGGAATTTTATGTATTATTCAAAGTGTATCACTATATGAATCTTTCTGTTTTTCTCTTGTAACATTTCATTGTGTTGCACTGTAATGGCTATAATTAAATATAATATTTCTGTATGTAGGGTGGCCCTTTTCCCCCCGGCTTTAGCGTTGGGGGGTTCAGGTTTCTGTGTGTGCTGTTTGCATGTCTAAAGACATACAGTTAGGTTAATTGGCATGTTCAAGCTGCCCGCAGAGTGGTTGTCTTGTAATGGACTGGTGTGCTAAGCTTCCTGGGACTGGCTCCAGAAACCCCCCACCCCTAACCCCCACCATCACCAGGAGATGTGGTTATAAATGACATCAACTGCCACTGTGCTGTATTAATTTAAAGGCCACATCCATATTAAGATGTGTACTTTTCAAACACCTTGCCAATGAAATCTGGTAAGCTAAGAATTTGTTCTAATTAGCGTCAAACGTTTCACCAATTTCAAAACTGTGCAGGGACGAGAATGATGTATTGGAAAAATCGACGATGTAACTACCCTGTGACTTGGGTTCCACAAAGTATATTCTACTGGATTTTACATTCATCACTCCACCACTGTTGACAGTTGCCAACTGTTATTATTAGGTTCTGTCAATTCAACGTCGTCTCCTGGCAACCACATAAACGGCAGTGCTCCAGAATGTCCTGTCTTCTGTAGTTGCCAACTGACATCACTTTCTAAATGGTATTTATTTGCATACATCATTTTGTTTAGAGCAGATGGGGTTCAATGTGCCAGAGGGGGCTGAGTCATCCAGAAGTGTGTAGTTCTTAAACACGTTGTTAAATTTCCTTGGGCTGAAGAGCAGGTCGCTGGTTCCAGAATTTCTAGAAAGCTGTTTATTTAAGGGCTTTTATTTCAGTATGCAAGAACACATTTACACACAAATGTGCAGATGTTGCATTCATCAAATGGCACCCAGCCCACTCTGGGAAGCATCACCAGTTCTGTTCTGCTTAATTCCCAGGTGCGTTCATAAGCATTTGAGTTTAATCTTGCAATGTAATATATTGTTTTTTTTTTTTGTCCAGGGCCAGACTCTTGAGAGGGAAGAAGGTCCATGGAGATTTTGACATCAAAATAGAACAGGTAAAGCTTTCCTTCACCTTGACTTGTTTTCGATCGTATTCAAACAGTATGGTCATTAGTACTGGAAAGGCTGCTAGTCTGGGATGAAAGGTGTGAGATAAATTATTGACTGACCTTATTAGCAGTACTTTTGGTATAATTATTATAGGAGGTCTTGTAACGGAGGAGCTTGCTGATCCACCTCCCCAGATATGTATTCCATGGGGTAGGTTCTGGGTCATGACGAACCTCCTTGGTTATGTAAACTGAATAAGAAAAATGCATAGATTAAAAGGTGGATATGTCAACCGTGTAAAGCAATGTAAATACAAAAAATACATTTTCAGTGAATGAGCCCCTCTTTAATCTTACTAGGATGGAAGATGGATAGATGGTTGGTGGGATGGATGGATGACAGTGAACACCACTTACGCATGAAAAATAACCTTTTAAAAGTTACTTTTGGTGGTATTTTGTGGAATTAAAATTTTAAAAGGACGGCAACCTCTTCTGCATTTATAAATCACTGAATATGAGACACACAAAACATTATAAAAGCAAATTAAATTGGAAAAATTCTTTAATTATTATATCAGTTAATTATTAAGTAGATATAATTAATTTAGAAGTGCATATTAATATATTTATTATAATTTCTGGAAACTACCATTGTCTCATTTTTAAAGCATGCACAGAATCAGGTGCCAAAATGCTGTTACTGTTAGCAAGTGAAGTGAAAAAGCCAGCCCAGCTTGGTGTTTACCTCCATGTTTACAGTCTGCAGGCCCAGACACTCTCACTTTTACAGTCAGTAGCCTTTGATCCTCACCAGGCAGTTCCCGGCACTCCCAGTTTCCTGGCTACTTAATTGTTTCATTTGCCCAACACACCAGACCGCTGTGTTTTTCCGCTGCAACCTGTCAGAGTCGTAATCTTTTAAAGGGTTGCAGGTTCTTGCAGGCAAGTGAAATTATCTGGTGAAGCAGGGAATAAGCGCGGTGGACAGTGGCGTGTAGTTGGTCAAGGGGGATGAGAAAGCATGGATATCAGTCATAGACGACAGCCATACACAACACTGGAAACAGCTTAAATAAACATGGTGTTGACTCCAGTACCTCCTGCATCTGTCGTTCCATCTAGTCTCTGTAAGTCAAACTGCAATTGAGTTAAGTCCCGCTAATATAATTACATATTATCACAATGGGTTCCCACCGGGCTACAATTATCCTGCCGAATGAGAGACTGTTCAGTGGGAAGCCCGGGCAGACTTAGGGAAATAGGCCACTGCATGTGCCGAACTGGGAGTGACTGTTTCAACAACTGTCACACTAACTTTGGAAGTGGAGTTATTGGGTTTTAGGGACACATTCTGGTGTGGGCTGATATGGCAGTAACTCCTCAAATTAGGGGGAAGCTTACTAAGCCGTAGCTGGGGTTAGTGGGAACAATCACCCTCCTGTGGATGACATACTGGATATTACTCTGTAGGTTGATGCATAGGTATATATATATATATATAGGAAATATATATAGATATATATGTATATATATATGTATATGTATATGTATGTATGTATGTATGTATATATATATATATATATATATACATATATATATATATATGTGTGTGGGTGCGTGTTTACATCAGTGTGTGTGTGTGGCCCTCAGCCAACAAAAAATCGTGAGGAGGAGGCGTTCAGCTAAAACAGAGTGCCAATATTAAGGCTTCTGCGGGCTAGGAAGACGTGACATCTGGTGTGGCCTTTTCTGAAACTGCTCACAATACACGGCATGTGATCTTAATGAGCATAGACATTAATTTATATTGCCTAGTACATACGGCGTGTTTCATATGTAGGGTATTTTTAATAAAAATAGTTTGATCAGAAGTACTGTATTACTTTGTGAAAGATACACACTAACATCCAGATTTTAAAATACAATTGTTCGATATATCGATGTAAGCATTGATTTGGCAACTAGAACCGGATGCATTAAAAGAACAAAGTCATTTCAATGCGGCTGTTCGAAATGCATCCATTAATGAGGATCTCTCTGAATCAGGGCCTTGGTTGTTGAGAAATGGCACCTCATTGTAAGAGTTATTTTAGGTTGCATTTCCAAATATAACAGCTGATGACTCATGGAGCTCTACCATGACGTAATTATCCTTCAGGCTTTCACAAAAGTTTGCAGAATTAACAAATATAGTAATTGCTTGACATAAAATATGTCAATTCATTAATGTTGAACGAACATGTGATCAGTATGTAAGTAAGACTTAATTTGTGGTTAATTAATAAAAATAATAGCATAGTAATAGCATATCGTTGAAATGCGCAGAAACACCGTCACCAATGTGGAACCGCACAAACCGAAAATCTCATTACGTGTGATATATCGCTTATTCACAGGCGATATCAGGTGTCTCTACATTATTAAATCGACTTCCGCTGTTGCCAAAATGCCACTTCATGTAGAGTAACGAGAAATACGGTGAAACCCTAAAATCCATCTCTACAACCACAGGCAGAGATGACCGTCTTCTTTTAAGACATAGTAGTCTTTATTCCAAGAATATCCTATGTTTCATGTGTTTTTAACAGAGACCTGTGGAGGGGCTGCAGGTGCAATTTTACGAGTTTCTCATTCAGCATCCGAGAGAAAGCCAATGTATTTCTGCATCAACAGCTATTTCACAGCAATCAAATACTGCATCTACTGAAGAGATACGTCCAGGACCAACAAAACGATGTCACATGGGATTACTTCTGTATTCTTGAAAACTAATTTAACAAAAAAATGAGACTTAGCTAAGGAGTACCTACCACAAATTGGTCCAATAACAAAACAGGCTTTAATCACGGTCGGTCTGACGATGGTATGCACCGCAGTATATTTCGTAGCAAGTGTTCATTTGAAATAGCTAAACTTTTCCTGGCGTTGCTGCCCCTTCACTTAAAAAAACATGTTAATGAAAAATGAGTCACTGCTTTACAGGCAAGCACATTTTACGACATTAATTAAAATGTCTAATTGGTCACCTTATTCGATGTGTAATTTTACCCAAGAGGAAATGAACTTGCGTTGCAATTGTACATGACAACGACGGCGTGGGCAGATAATTGGAATTTCAAGGGTCACCCAGCCAAAACAATATCCGCAGACAGCAATTATAATTAACAAGAAGTGGCCAGGTCCCCGTGATATAACGTGGGATTTATGACACAGAGGACCGAAGAGGCGTCCATCAGCATTCTAGGTTCTTCTGTAAACACCAGCTTGCTAAATATAGAGCAATGTTTAAGGCTGACCTCTCCCTCCGTGCTACTCTCTCTAGGCTGAGTTCTCGGAGATTAACCTTGTGGCACACGCCAATGGCACCTGCAACATCGACATGCAAGTGTTTCGCAACGGAACGAAGGTGGTCAGGTAAGGAATTGTGAACTTAACATGCAAGAACATTTACAGTTTCCGGGGCGAAATCTGACTCCATAATTAAGCATCCCTCCAGCGCAACTCCCGCCCTTATTTACGGAATCTAAATTCACTTGCTTATATCTAATCTTTCTTTGTCATCAGCCACGGCCCTTTTCTAAAAAGACACCATTTTATTGCAGAATTTAAAAAATATGTATATATGTATACAGCATTTTTGTTAATGCTGGCTTACAAAAAAATCCTGCTTACATTTTAAAAGTTGCAGGATTTCCTTGTAAATCTAAGCGTCCCTTTATGATGCCTTCGGGAAGGAAAAGGAATTATTCATCAGAGACTGACTGCATGTAATAGCTATTTGCAGGCTGTAATGATATGGGTATCTGTCAGTTGTGTCTACTTGCGCCTCGAGCCAAATGCGCACTGTGCAGCCAGCTATTGGCACGCGTGTGGCATTAATGCAGCCCGTTCTGTGACAGTCTCACAGTCACACCACCTTCCGATGCTGCACGTTTGCGTGAAAAGTAAAGTAAGTCAATACAGCGAGCTCAAGGCTCAAGCACAAAGGCCGAGCGATGTTGGTGGTCTAGAAGAGCCTCCCACCACCACCCAAATGCGAAATAATAAACACAGAGGAGATTGGATCAACAAGGAACATCTGAAAGTGAGGGAATTCAGATAGTCACACATCTTGGGAACTACCGTTTATCGAAGATCCAGCCACATTATACAGACAATGATGTGAAAGATTATATATGTTTACCTGATAAACATTTCTCTCATAGTAATTATGCCAATACAGATCCACTGGCATGTAATTATTTCCTAAACAGTAACTGGGATAGATTTCCATTATATCAGAATTCATATTTTGGTAAGACTTTGTACCCTAGCATTCTGATGCAAAAAAATCTTTAAAATTATCTTATGGTTATGGTTAATCCTAGAGCAGGGGAGGGCAATCTTATCACTGCAACTCCCTAATTAGATTACTAATTAGAGGACTGATTGGCTGAAGAGTCCTCACACCTGGGTTTGAACAGCTGACCTACAGGTTATCCCAAAAACCTGCATATACACCGGCCCTTTGAGGATAAGATTGCCCACCCCTGTCCTAGAGGCTGACAGTGTGTTTAGCAGATGTTAATGGGGTTTTTTTTTTATTATTATTTGAGCTTATTGGATATATGCAATAATTTAATATTTGAAATCAGTACAATATTTCTCAGATGAAATCTGATGTATTAGATAGACCATCCATTCATTCATAGATATTCAGTTGTACATACTTTTTGAACATGTATACATATTGTAACAAAAAAAATACATCTTGTATTCGATAGATGGACATTGAGATTGGTCAGCATGCTGGCTGCTGTAATGCTAGCAAAGTCTTGATTGTCTTCTTTCATCTTTGGAGTTTCTACTGGAAAAATATCTAGCTTCAGTTGTATCATCCTGTATTCTTTTTTTGTCTATCCTTTGGCAAAATGAAATCTTTTATTAGATCAAACACAATAACCCTTTGATCCCATGGGGAAACGGTAGACCTAATATTTGTTTCCTGGGTAAGACAGCACCTCAAAGGCATCTATCACGGGGTGAGATGGAGACTCTATCCCTCGCAGGTCCTTTAAGCCAGATTTCGTCCTCATCCGACAACACGCCTTCAGTATGGCGGAAAATGAGGACTTCCGCAACCTGATCATCGGCCTGCAGTACGGTGGTATACCTAGCATCAACTCCCTGGACTCCATCTACAACCTCTGTGACAAGCCTTGGGCCGTAAGTCCTCTGTTATGCTACGCTAGCAGAATTGCTACCGCAGCTAATCCTGAATGAACGTGGTGTGTCTTCCCAGTATGTTTGCTACAGATGGCAAACAATAACCCTGAAAATGTGATTTTTTTTTTCCATCTTGCACAGACCACGACAGAATCAGCTAACTGAATATCACCTCTGATTGGTAGCTGTAGTTGGGTTCTTCCGTTACAGCATTGAGCAGATTATAAGATGATTATCTGTAATTCAACAAAGTTTCTATTAATGGATGCCAAGTGAAAAATACATGCATTTATAATCCCAGGAGATTAAGATCCATATTTCCTATTTCAACGTGGACCCGGCTTTCTACAAGTTAGTAGCTGTAGAAGAACTAATTATCATGTCCTATGTATCTACTCATTTACGAATTCTATTTGTATTGCAGTTTCCAAATCACTTACTCTTAAACTCACCACAAAAATCTTTTCAGACAAATGCAAAGTTTTTTAGCGACATTTGAGTGTTTTTCTATAGTTTTTCTCTTGGCAATTATCCATTAGCTTGAAGATATAGCGCTAATTACCTTTTTTACTGGCCCTTGCTGTTTGCCAACAATAGCTGGTATGTTGCTGTTTGTTCTGCATTACAGCAAAGGACAACCAATTGAAGTTACAGTTGTTTTTCTTACATCATTATATTTTGGCAATCTGGCAAATCTGGTATGAAATAAAATAGTCGTAGAGTCTGCATTAGGGGTGTAAATCACACCTTTCCTCGCGATATGATACAATATCGATTCATTAAGCCAACGGTTCAATTTTTTTTGATACCTCAGAAATTCCCACGATATGATACGATATGATTCGATTCAGTTTGATACTGGGGATTGTAGTCGGAAATGATGAAATTTCACACAATCCTTTACATTTCAATGAAATGCTCCACATTTCCCTTCTTCGGAATAGCAAGGGTAGACTGACAGATGAGGCAAATGCACTTCAAATATGACATGGTGGAAAAAAAACAGTCCTCCTCTCATTCCGTATGGAAGTGGCAGGTTTTTGGCTTCTTACTTGGTCCAGCTCCCCCATTCATTTTTATACCCTTTCTTAAGTTTAGTAGAAATAAATTGGAGGCTGCCTAGGCGACTCGGTAGTTTGCAGCAGCTGGTGAGGGTGAACGCGTCATCCATCCTCTATTTTTTATGCCATACGATCTACCCACACTACCTTTGCAATCGACCAGTAGATCGCGATCGACGTATTGGGCACCTCTGGTGTAGACTGTGTATACGTCAGAGAGGATCATGAAAACAATACTGGAACAGGCGAGAAAAAAAAAAATGCATGTATCAATATTTATGCGGTCACATCGATGCATCAGATCGTTTGCCGTTGAATCGATATGTCGATACAAATCGATGTATTGTTACACCCCTAGTCAGCATCAGTGTATTATTTGCCCTAATGCAACATGGCTACAGCCCAACACTGCAAACTGTCACCCTAGCAGGAAGCAGATATACAGGCTGACGTTAACCAGCGGTGTGTTGTTTTTCCAGTTTGCCCAGTTGGTAAGCACTTACAAGAGGCTGGGCCCAGACAGATTTCCTCTGATTGAGCAGACCTTTTACCCAAACTACAAAGACATGGTAAGGCTGTATGTGTTGTCTGTCTGTCTGTCTGTCTGTCTGTCTGTCATGGGAAGGAGGGGGTGGAGCCTGTCACAGGACTGGGGACCAGCAGCTCCAGATTTCCACTGTTACAGGGTGTGAAATGTCATGGCATCTATCATTATTCATATATTTATCTGAAGTCTCACCTTGCAGAACACAATAAGGACATGGGTTATGCAGAAATACACTTAGAAGGATAAAGGTGTGATGAGCAATACTTACTATAAAGCAGGAGTCAGAGTACTCGGTGATGTGATTGCTTTCAGAATGATTGATGCTGTTAATTAACAGTATCTGTTAATATTTTCAATCACCATATTCGTGACCCAGTGGCATCTCGCTTTTGTATGCAGTCATGGGGAGTTAGTTCAGTATAATCCAGAAAGGTAACTGGTCTTTCAATTTACCCATTTTATCTGGCAAATATTAGCGCATGTACCAGTCATGAAAAATTGCACTTGCTTCTATAAATTAGTCAGATTAATTTGTCATGTCATTTATGTGTCCTTTTGTCAGTATGGTTCAATGGCTCTATTTTTATGGGACAGCATTTACAGCATTTACAGGCTCAATGTCAATTACCTGTGCAATAAATGGCATTTTAAACAACAGAGCTGAAATGGTGCAACTTTTTATACGCCACTGTATTAATTAAATAAACATCTTGCCACTTTCTTTATTTTGGGAGACTTAGTACAGCACCAAGATTATGTGGAGTAGTAAAGCTTTGCCATTTATTTGAGAGAAGACTGAAATTATTACTGTCAGTAATACGATTCTCTGGTTTCAGTTCATGACCTAAAATAATAGTAATGATCATAAAAATGATTACAAAGGTGCCTCAGTACCGCTGTTTGAACTTGTTTTGGTCTTCGGAGCTTGAGGTATGATCTCTGCAGAGAAGATGGTGGTAATGCGTTTTACATCAACAGCATCAATTATGTGCTGTAGTCAAAGACTTGGATAACAGAACATTCCAGGGAGTCTGCTTGCTCTCCTCTGACATTGTGTGTAAATTCTTTTAGGAAGGAGGCCAGGAAAAATGACCACTGTATTTCAAACCACAGTGCTGTAGTCATCCAGAGCGTTGATCTGTAGACTCCATGTTTAGGTAACATGTGGCCAGTTTCCCAGTCAAGGATTAAGCCTAAGCCTAGACTAGCTTTGAGTTACAATGGTGAATCTCCATTGAAACGGCAATTTAGTCCAAGACTAGTCTTAATCCTAGTTCGGGAAACCGGCCCATGATGTTTGCAAAAACGTGGCAAGCTGCGGTTACCTGTGTGTCAAGTTATTTTTAAAAACCTGTTCAAGGCCGCCGTACGTTAGCTATGTTTCAATAACAGTTTTGCTACTAGCTAAATTAGCTGATGGGCAGTTAAAACATAAGGACCAATAGAAGTAAGACCAATAGATTGATGGTTGCCCATTGAAGTCCCAAAAGGGTTTTTACTATTGTACTTTGTAGTCATATGCTTAAGCGTAAAATATTCAGATCTGTATATGCGTGGATGGCACTTAATTTTTCCTAAAAGCATTAGCTACATTTGTAACTATGAAACTAAAAAGTATCTTTTTCCTAATTTATCTCACAGACCACTTATGAGGGATGCTTTGTCAATTCGCTCAAGTAATTTCATATTCCTCCATTGCAGCTTTTATGAGAGAAAAAGTACAGATATTATATGTTAGTATTTTCTGGAGCCTGCAAAAATGTAGCCTGTTGTTAAGCCATTTGTATCTCTGCTCGGCCAAAAACTAATGCGTAGAGGTCATTTTAAACCTAGAATACTGTGAACTTTATTTACTGCAAAATCAGGAACCACTTAGACTTATCTATGAAGAAAAGTCAGTATCTGTGCTTCATAAAGCTGTAGGGTCGAGTTTGCACGCTGGAAAGCATGTTGCTAATTACACTAGGGCTGAACCCCACAAAGGAATATCTTGACAGTTTGCTGATGGTAAACCTACCAAGCCAATAATAGGTTGGGAACTGGTTACTGTGAATAACATATTTTTATTTTCCATGGACAGGAATCATGTTTTATTGAGAAATATTTCTGGGATTTGTAATGCTGGGAGGGAACCAACCAGAAAACAGGAAATCAGATGAACTTGAACACTACCGAAAGATTTTTATAAACAACATTTTTGGTACAATAAAATAGAAAATTCCAACTATATATTGACAGCAAAAGAGACATAAATATCCATACAAACATCCCTTTGTATATAAAACCGCTACAAACAATCACATTCTTACTACTTATGCTGTTGTTATAGCAACGTATTAGGTTTTTGGCACAAAAAAAAGTTTATAAAATGTAACGATAAGACACAAAATACACCAATGACAATTATATACTGAATGTATTGTAAATCATAAAAATGGATGTATTTACTATTTTTTGCAGTGAATATTTAAGCTGTTAATATTATCTCAAATATTTACATTCAGATGTACACAATTGTAATAAGGGGAATCCCAAAATATAATCTGTTATAGAAAGTTTGGTCTGGGGCATCTGAAACTTTGTTCTTTATCATGATGGCTAAAAACTTCTTTTTAAGTACTTTTAAACACTTTTCTAAAATAGTTTCCCAATTAATAAAGGAAATGTTCTTTCCCTGAGAAATATCTCTCTTGGGATCATGCTAAGATAGACAAAAAGTTGTAAAGCCAATAAAAATAGAAGCATTAGGAGAGTCAGCAATTTGGCATTTTTTAAGGATTTACTTAATTTCAATGACTAACATGAAAATGTATTATTTTCCTTTATATCTTGTGTGGGATGTTCTTATTGTTCCTCTCACTAAATAATTCCTCTTAAGAAATGAGGTGTGATGTCCATTTATAGCTATAATAGTCATTAAGAAAGGTGCCGTTTTTTTCTGTTACTTAAGAAGGAACATTTATTATCTAGGAATTCAGGACTTGGAGATCCTTAGGGGTGAAGGTACCTAAATGGGGGTTTTAGGCCAACAGCTGAATGGGAATTTAGCTGTGTTAGTAGGGGACCCTGACCTGAGTCAGGTGGTTTCCTCTGCTCATACTGATTGGCTCTCTCTGTTACATTCACACCAGCAGTGTTGAGGTGAGACCTGGGACCCTAGGAACAGAATGCACTAGATCAGGAGTAACCCTAAACTCCAAGACCCCCTGGGCACCCATAGAGCAGGTGCAGGGCGGCCTGTGAAAAAACTTAACATAAATTGATAAAATATTAGACCATATGCATAAGCTGGTTTAACAAAGGTTGAAAAACCCTGCACTTGACTGTGGGAGAACCTGTAGTGCCCCCCTCCCAACCCCAACTTCTGTAGTAGGGCCTGCTTTCAACCCCCTCCCTTCCCCAGTCCCCCCCTCCCATACACACAGACACACATACACAGACACACATCAGGGGTCAGATATATCCAGGAAGTCCTTCTCGGGAGGTGCCCCCCCCCGGTACCAGCTGCACGAGCCGTCGCTGCGCTTGATGCAGGCGAATTGGCGCGCCTGCTCCCCAGCCAGACTGTTGTCCATCAGCCAGTCTGTCCACAGACACTCGTTCTCCATGGTGGTGGAGCAGGGTACCGTGTAGCAGGTGGCAATCTGTGGACACGCGGTAGCATTTAACCGCTTGTTATGGGAAATCCCACACAGCCGCTACACACCGGCTGACTTTTTTAGTAGCAGGACTATCGGGAGACATTCTGCAGCCCGAAGTTGCGGGACACGTCAACTTACTCTGCAGTCGCAGCCCATTTGGTATCGGTAGTTGAGGTTCTTCTTCTGGGACATGGAGAGGTCGTCCCAGGACTCTATGAAATCGCACAGCCCGATGGAGACCTTGCCGTCACTCAGCATGTTCCCTTGAAGACATGAGGAATGCATTGTCAGCTTTTGGAGAGAGACACTGGGTTCTCCTTCCCACAGTGCACGGTGATGTGTGTACACCCAGGGAAACAGGCCATGGGCTATGTAGCTACGGGCTATGTGAGCTGGTAGGATTGTCTCAAAAGCACGCTTCAGTTCAGTGCATCACGTAATGCCTGAACCAGGCATTGCGTATCACGCCTTAAGAGAGACTATTGATTCGTCAGGGTCACTGCATTTTAAACAGAATAGATGTCAGATACTCAGGATTGCCATCATATATTTAAGGAGGTATGCATACCAGGGCTTCAGAGTGTGAAGGATTTTGGTTTATGTCTGAGATTAAATAAAAGCCCTGGTTTAGACAGTAATACCACTCAGTTTTTGTAAGTCTGAATAATTCACTGATCATTATCCCTAAATTCCAGGGGATATCATCTGTCCGAAGATGTGTCTGATTCAATGCGGAGGAATTATTTATTCCATGACCTTCACTGTTAAATGCATGTGTTCCTCAGATCTAAGACTGGATGAGCAGTGCTCTTCTCAGGATTTTCTTACCTGACAGCAGATACTGGACCTTGTTGCTGGAGTCCAGCTGGATCCCACAAAGGGAGGAGAACACTGGTGTGTAGACATACTGAATGTCTTTCACCTTCTCAAACCCTTTAAACATCTGCGAGAGTCCAAATGCATGGTTTCAATAAAGCAAACTAGATGTTTCCTCCTCAGTATATATGATCAAACACATCTACGATATGTGTGTAAGTATGTTACTCATCCGTACCTTTTCAAAGGCAGAACAGAGCAATTTTTTATCGGTGTGTGTCAGATACTACTGGATTGTAAGGGTTCATGGCTGAGTATTTAACAGACTTGCACTGCGGATGATCATCTTTGATAATCTCCTAGCAAGTACTTCCATGTAAAACCTATTTGCATCTTTATGTCATCACTGGAGGTAGTGTGAAAGAGGTTGTATGTAAATATATTATTTCCCCCAAGTTGTGCCTGAAACGCTGAGGTGTGTAACCTGTAAGCATTTGTATAACTGTTATTAATGCCCACCGGCAGTAGCATCAAGCTATGGTCAAACCCTTTCTCTAGAAAAAGA